AAACAGCTTTTATAACATAAACCCTACATTGAAATATACAGGAAAAAGGCACATCTACCCTTAGAAGTGCTCCTGAAAAATATACAGAAACTTCCAAATAAATTGCTAGGAATTATAACCTTCTCTTTCCTATTCAAGGGATCAATTCCCAACATGCCGTTGACACCAACACATACACTATAACTCACTTAAGGACAATAATGTTGGTGCTGTACACTGCAGTGAAAAATATAATTTTGGTTCACAGTCCTCCAAGGGTTACGTACATGCTTCATTTTACTCAGCGTGAGTAATCCAATCGACTTCAATGGGACTATTTGTGTGTTCAACATTAAAAACACGTGCTTATGTCTTTGCAGGACTGGTGCCTTACAAAGTCTACGAACACTTACATAAACCCGCACTATACAATCAGGACATATTATAATGCCAAAAAGATAATTCACACAAACATTTTTACAATTTAGTGTACCCTAGAGGACCCTGGGTACCCCTTTCAAAACCCTTGATACATACAATACATATCCAACAACATACATCCAACAGCATATTGCCAAGGCAACAGAGCAAAGCTAAAGTTAGGTAGGTATTCAGCAATGGTGAGCAATGAAGGATTAGCTGCCTGGTTCCTTTTACTGCTCAGTCATTCGAACATTGGGGGGGGGGGGGGAAGAGGGGGGGGCTGAGTTTGTTTTTAAAAGGAGTGTAAGTGCTATTAAAAAAAAAGTACTATTTTCAGGCGCTAGCTGGACTCCACTGAAACTCACTTTCAACCTTAATTTTTTTTTTTGCTTGTGAACATAAACATATCACAAACCACCCAAGGGGTGACCCATATTGTTATGGCCATTCATTGGACCCTTAACCTGTATTTCATTTCCTGTCATAAAATCCATTTTATAAATATTACAAAAATATGAAGTTTCTTTTATAAAGTAACAGTTCATAAAATTTTACATTTATAAAGTATACCTGATTCTGGCCACTGGCCTGATAGTCAAGAATAGATTTAATTCAATTCAAGAAGGATGTTGATAATTTGGAGAGAGTTCTGAGAAGAGCCATCAGAATGATTAAAGAATTAGAAAATGTGCCTTATAGGCTATAGACTCAAGGAGCTCAATCTATTTAGCTTAACAAAGAGAAGGTTAAGAGGTGACTTAATCACAGTCTATAAGTATCTACATAGGGAACAAAAATATTTAATAGTGGGCTGGAAGTTCAAGTTACGCAAATTTAGACTAGAAATAAGGTGTTCGATTTTTAACATTGAGTAATTAACCATTAGAACAACTTAGCAAGGGTCACGGTGGATTCTCCTCAACTGATTTATTTTTTTTTTAAATCAAGACTGGATAGGTTTCTAAAAGATTTGCTCCAGGAATTATTTTGGGGAAGTTCAATGTCCTGTATTATACAGGATAGATAATTGCAATGGTCCCTTCTGGCCTTGGAATCTATGGAACTATTTCCCCCCTGGATGAATAAAAATCAATGATTTGGGGGGGGTGAATTAATTAATTTTGTTATTTAAATTATACTGAGTTTTTCTTTTTAAATCTAAACCTGTTTAAAATTAAATTTGAACTTAATACAAAATGTGTCAAGGCCTAAACTTATTATAATCTCTTTAAAAATTAAATAAAAAATATACTGAACATGAGCCTCTACCAAAAACTGAGTTAAAGGCTGCTTTTCTATATTAAAAAAAATCATGTGAAACACTTCCAACTTTTGAAGTCAAGCTTTATAAATATGACACAATGTAGTAGTAAATAAGCAATATATCATTCACCATTTTCCTACATACTAAAATTTACAATTAATAAGAATCTGAAAATATTAAGCTAAGTAATTGCTTAAATAAATAAATATATATAGTTATAGCGTATGCTCCTAGGAAACAAAATGATGTACCAAATCTAGTGTAAAGGCTCTATTCAGTTGTAAATCAACATCTTTTAATGGCTGTATCAACCAATGAAAGTGCACCTTTCTTTTGAAGATAACTGAAGTACAAATGGAAAAGTTGATTAAATTGATGAATTAAAGTGAGGCTTTCTACTTGATTTAAATCACGATTTCAATGTCAGATTGAAATTGCTTTGATTTAAATCAATCCACCCCACTTTCACCTAGATGCCACTGTATTAAGTTCATCTCATTTTCAAAGTTTCATAAAAGTCAGGCATTCCAGATGTTAAGGGCTCAATTCTACAGTTCCTATACGAGTAAAATTCCTATTGAGTCCTGTGGGATTTTTGTCTTTACAAGGACTGCAGGTTCAAGCCCTCATGGCCACATTTCAGAGATTATGATCTCTTCTCTCTACAAGAAGTCTCAATACAAACTGTAAAACCAACCAGTAAGTCCTTCCTTGGAAAGCACAGTCCCTGGGGTAGAATAAAATGTCTTTACGACTTCACATTTCTATTCTAGTGGTGTTTGAAAATGTCCAGGGTTCCTATTTAAATTCCCTCAGCAGTTTCTACTCGGTTTCTGACAATTTAATGTTTAGGATGGTGCCCACAGTAACAACAGTATGAGAAAATTTCAGAACAATAATCATTTACAAAATTTTCAAAGCACATTTTACGTGGGTTGAAAAAAATTTACTTCTCTGAAATTACAGACAGGACTTGAGTTTCTTTCTTGAACATAAAGAATGTTGTTCACTGCTAAACTATAGCTTTACATGTGCTATAAGCAATGTTTAAACTCTAGTTCCTTTTATCTAGTGATACTATGTATGTTCTCTCAGTAAGATTGTGAAACTTGCATTAAGCTGCAATTACTGCAATAATGCCAGAAAATCTTTCCTAAGGGAATAGTACAGTAAGTACTTTGCAGCTGTAACCACAACTACCAAAATGTTTTAATCATGGAAAGCTTAAGTTGGTGTTTGTTATTCACCAAAAAGCATTATCAATATGAATAATTAAACCATTCCCAGGACTAGATGTTCCCCATTTCTACTGAGATTTGGGCATACAGACTTTAGTATTGGTTCCTTAGAAAACTGACTCTTTTTAGCTTACTTTAACCTCTCTACCTTCATCTGTAATATAAGGAAAGTGGGACAGATGTTGCAAGTTGCTTACTACAATTGTCTTTTTTTCACCTCTGGAGATGCGGATTCAAACGTTACCTAAAGTCACAAGAATTGTTTCATAATCTCAAACTGGTTCTTAAGACACATTTAAAAAACAAAACAAAAACAAAACACTACAGGTAGATTTTCAAAGCTGTCCAAGACACTTAGTTACAAATCCCCCATTAATTTTGATGGGAAGCAAGGAGCTGAGTCCTCTAGTTCAGTGGTATCCAAACTTTTTTGATCGCGCACTCCTATCAGTAAAAACTTTTTGAGCACGCACCCCCTGCCGCCCCAAGCAAAAAAATAAGCGGCACGAACCCCACTTTGGAGACCACTGCAGTTGGCTTTGGGGAAAAAAATCTCACCCCACATGCCTTGTCAAAAGTAACAGGCAGTCAAGAACAACCCCTACAATGGATTAAGGAGGGGTACCACAGGATCCAAAGTAGTCCTAACAACACGGAGTCCTTGTGGCACCTTAGAGACTAACAAATTTATTTGGGCATAAGCTTTCGTGGGCTAAAACCCACTTCATCAGATGCATGGAGTGGAAAATACAGTAGCAGGTATATATATACAGTACATTAAACAGCCACCACTCTGAAAGTAGTCCTAGCCACTCTTTCCTAACCAGAAGGTGGATTCTAGAAAGAAACTTTGAAAGATGAGGGGGAAGAGAGATGGTCCTCTGGACTCCTACAAAGGCATGGAAAGCTCCTCACTTGGGAAAATACACCTCTAGTAGTCTTCTCTCCACTCCTAACATAGATAACTCAGAGTCTCATACCCTACCACCCGCCTTTTACAGACTCCTGTGGCAAACTGATCAAATTCACTATCTGCCAAGGAAATGTTGCAGTGTCAGACACAGCCAAATGGGACACCTGTTCAGACATCCTATTGATGGGCACTTTCCAGACAGGCATACACAAAGACCCTTTAAGCCTCCAGACTCATCCATGTACATTACAACTAAAAATCTTAAATTTTAGTCAAGTATTTCATCCGTTAGTCAAATAGTGTGGTCATCTTACATGTGTTTTTGGGAAGAGATGGTGTATTAAAGTATTACCTAAGCATGAAGCTGCAAAGTATATCAAAATAACATTTCATAAACCTATTTGAAATCAAAAATCAGAAAACTTAAAATATATTTTTTAAAACTGTACAGATTCCCTGCATAACGTGTGTAAAAAAAAAAAGCCAGTTCAGAAATTTCAGCCCAAGATGGATATCTACAGACAACTTTAAAACTCCAGAAAATAAGAGACAACAGAAACTGAAGAGAGTTGGTTTGTAAACATCTTTTCCTCCCAGGATTCTGATTAACTGGATCTTCAGGAAACAGCTAAGAATTTGTAGTAATGGAAACTTCTCTCCAATCTTAGTGGTATATTCCAGTGTTTGCTACCAAGATTATGTTTATTATACTAAGCAATATGGTCTCTACATTTTATCTCCTCTCTCCATTGCAACTTCCTTAGTCGGACAGACAAATCTCCATGGTAAGGTCACAAGTTATTTCAAATAAAAAGAACTGTCCCCTTATAGACTTTGTATCAGACTTAAACAATCCAAAATATTTAAATTTACCAGAACACATTCCATGTGCTGTGAAAATCAAAGGCAGGAGGGATACTTGGACCACTTTCCAATTCGTTAGGAAATGTTCACTGAATTCAAATCTTACCCATCAGTTCATAAAATATAAGGCAGTTTTCAATTTTACTTTTGTTGTTTAATAGCTCAGCCTGATGTCACTGTATAATACACAGTATTTTGTTCTTACTGAAAAATTTGGCTGCCTCAATATTAACATTGAGATGCTGAAAGCAATACAATGTCCACAGGGGTATTCAGAACCTACTGAAAAACATAAACCATGAGCTAAAAGGTTTCTTACCATGATCTTGCTTACCCATTGCACTTAGATAATGATTAAAGGCTTGACAAGGGGGACTTGGAGTCTGCGTGGACTTGTCGCAACTCATAGGCGCAGGACTCCTGTCTGTGTCGAAAGAGAAATACCCACTGGAGGATCTAGACAGCAGTGAGGATCTTCTTACAAAGATGAAAAGTGGGGATCTGGTAGCAAATGGACTGGGGCTACTGGGTGGTGCAAATGGTCCCTGAGGGCTGCTGGGCGAAGAGCTCCCTGAGGGCTGCTGGGCGAAGTCCCCCTCACCTGAATGATTACCTTGATACTGTGTTTGTATAGAGGTAGGGGCCCCAGGTCTAAGATGCTGAGGCTGACTTGGCCTTTCAATTGACTGAAACTGTCCACCTTCTCTGTTGCACTCTGAATTTAGATCAGAAGATTGCTTTGCCATTTGGTCTTTTTTTCCTGCAAAGAAATAGGAAGACATTATGAGTAAACTCTCCAGGCTTTATTATAATACTGTAATATCTAATAGGTTTTGCAATAAATTCTCAATGTCCTTACTTATAGTGTTAGAATTCTAGTCGTATTGCATATGCCTTTCAGCTTACATTCTTCTTGCTTTTAACCTACTCACTTCTTTCCCTACACCCCAAATACAATCAAGTGCTATCAGATCTATGGGTAGTTTCCTGTCCACTGTTTCCACCCTTCCTAGGATACCTGCATCAAAAGTATAAACCGTGAAAAGCCTTTGTCCAAACAAAAGGAATTTAGTTTTAAAGTGGAATTTATCAGCCAGGCCATTATGCTCCAAATCTGTATGAAGCTCTGATTCAGTTAATTAAAAAAAAAAGCCAATAAGCTCTGATTTCCTCAAGTGATTAAATAAAAGGATCGGACACTGTGCTGAAATGCAAGAGCGAGGAGTATTTGCAGTGATTGTGCAGAGCCTCCTGGCCATGTTCCCTGTTCCAGCCCCATTGTTCTATCTAATGTGCTGATCACAGCAAGTCTGGAGGAGGTTTGGCAGCAGCAATCAGTTGTAGTAAGTGCGTCACAATAGAGTTTGTAGATTGCACAGCACTGGCTCTCCTGCACCCCCCTCCTTACCCTTTTAATGCTAACTCAACAAATCCTCCTTCCTACTACAAACTTCAAGGGAGAGGGGAGTACTAAAAACGTCAGCTTGAAAAACACTGCAACTTCCCCACCCAAACAAAGCAATACCGCTTTGTGTAAAATACCCCCGAGACAACCACACTAACACACACACACACACACACACACACAGAGCCCAAACCCACAACTACAGCCTTTAGTACACAATGTCTCCGCGAATCCAGCGCCGGACTTCCTAAAACAACAGACTCCAGACTCATTCTTTTTATTTGTTTGGTTGTTGTTTGGGTTTTTTTTGGGGGGGGGGGTTAAGAGTTGTACATTATATTGCAAACTCGCCCAGGAAAAACGCTCCGGGACCGCAGACTTCCTGCTGCCGCGCTGGGGCGATCCCGGCCGGTGGCGACAAGCAGGAACCGGCGGGAGCGACGCCGAAGCAGAACCCGAAGCGAAGCACAGCGGGGCAGCGCAGAAGCCCGGGGCCGCCCCCAGGCTCTGACCGGGTCCGGGTCCCGGCCCCGCAGGGTGCATCGGAAGGAGGGTCCCCCCGCCCAGCCCAACAAAGGGAGGCAGGCGAGCGAGCCGGCCGGCGGGGGACCGCGGGCACACAAAGGAGCCGCGGGGCAGCCCCGCAGGCCCCGTCCCGCCTCACTCACCTTTTCGGCGCCCGCCTCCTCGCCCGAGAAACAAAACCGCCCCCC